CTCAACCGTCCTGGCAGTGGACCTCAAAGGTGAGCGTCTCTTTAAAGACACACGGGTGGCACCCCAGCAAACATGCCAGATGGTGCCCCCGCTTGAGAAGGAGAAAGGGTCCTAGATTCTCCATGTTTTCCCTCTATCAGAAAAAGCTGGTTCTGTGGATTACACCCCAGAGAACGAGGAGAGACCCCGATGCTCAAAGACCTTGAACACAAACTCTGCAAAAGAGGGCTCGGTGTCAAAGGAAAGGCACAGAACGGATTCTGACTCACCAAACCCTCCCTGTTGTTTTTTTCCGGGGAAAAGCTCATTTTTAATCCGGGCTTAGACTCAAGACCAAAGATCCAGACACAGATTTAAGACTCGGACCCAAAAATGTGCCAGCATCTCCGAATTGATGTGATTTTCGGTTTGGGACTTAATTTATTCTATGTGTGCCTAGGGTATCTCTAAATTTCTGCCCCCCAGCAGCCAGCTGGATGACCCCCGATTTATTTCTGAACGGTGATAGCACACCCAAATTCGCCCCAGTGTCATATAATGCTCCCCGTTTGGGACACGTGACGGGCGTGCCTCGCTTTTTAACAAGGCCATTCGAGTGTGATGAGTTGCAAGCTTGCAAAGGGAAACTCTTTTGAATCCGGAAGAGAGATGGGTCTGTGTTTAGCGCACGTCCGTATCAACGCATGCCGAAGAATGGTAAAATGTCCTATGTACGACCTGCGGCCACACAGGTACATTTTCCGAACTGTGCACGTAACGCATAAGATCGTATATTAACTTTGATGTCGGAAACACCTTTGGCAAATATATATCGGCACATCTTAGCTGCCCCGGCTAAATCTGGTTTCCAAAAAATACATGAGCAACAACATTCTCCCTTCATTTCTAAGATCCAGGAGGTTCACTAAAGGTATATATACCACCTACTGGATTGAACTGCAGAGGATGCCAAGGGGACATCATCTATATATGTATCACGGAATCTATTTGTGAACTGGAAATGTCAGTAATCTATTATCTTGGTGAAGGATTCTAGGAAATGTTAACAAATTCGAGAACACAGTAAACAAATTGGTTTCTGACACAGTCTTTGAATTTTGGGAAAGGGGGCATTAATTTTTTTTTCCTTGTCAGATAATTTAAATGTGCATGGACATGTTTCTAGATATTTGAAAGCCTTTTGTAGAATGTGTATTATGGTTGCTGTTAATATTATTTTCTGGTTTTACTGCATATTTTTCCTTGTTTTCGGCCTGGTATTTTTTTTTTTTGTTCTTTTTAAGTTCTTTGCACGATAACATTTTAAAATGTAGTTCTTAAACAAGTGTTTTTCATCAGTTGTCCATCAACAATTAACATGTGGACTATTGAATGAGCGAGCTTTTTGGTCTCCTAGCCCTGTCTTCTTTCCTTGAATGCAATATATTGTCTTTCTGTTTGCAGCATTAAAAATATTTATTTATTTAATTGTTGTTATGTTCCGTCACGTTGTTTCGGACTTATGGCAGCTCTACGAATGATAGATCTCCAAAATCTCCTGTCCTCAACAGTCCTACTCAGTCCTTAGAAACTCAATCCTTGTGGTTTCCTTTAGGGAGCCCGTCCATTTCATGTTATTGGGTCTTCCTCTTCTCCTGCTGCCTCCCATCTCTGCGACTGACTGTCTTTCAGGGAAGATGTAGTAACACCAAGATTTCGACAGTGCTTAAAGGGTAGGTGGCACCTTGAGCAATTATTCGCAGACTCCGGATCAGGGTGTTATGGGCATGTTCTTATTTTTATTTGTATAGTCTCGGAAGAGGTGCCGCCGAGGCGACCACTAAGTTGGCCGAGCGCAGCTTGTGCAACCTCCTCGTAAAGTCTCGCTCCCGCCAGAGTTGGCGACTTCTCCCATGAGTGTGGGAAGGTGCTTCGCACGCAACAACCCCCCCTCCTCCAGGTGTTTCCTCTACCTGGCTGGGTTTGCCTCCCCAATTAGCCTCATCATCGTCCTGATTTGGGACCTGCAGGCGTTACTCCCTCCCTTCCGAGTAAGCCCGAAGGACTGCGGACGCCACTCACAACCACGGATGAATTGCACGCAAGAGGATTTTGTGGTTCTAAAGCAAGAGATGGAGTTTCTTCCTACAGATCCAAACCCCCTGGTTTAAACTTTTTGCAGTTCCAATTGATATCTGCCTTTTGTGGTTTATTTTTATTTTATTTTTTAAATTTATTTGATTTTTACCCCGCCCCTCTAGACCATGTCTACTCGGGGCGGCTTACAAAATAAAACAAAACAGTATAAAAATATATAAAATCATAAAATTAAAGCAACAATTTCAATTTAAAACAATTAATTTAAAGAGAGGATTACCAAGATGGAATAGCAAAGAAAAAAAAACAAGGGCTGATCCAGAAAAGAAAGGAGAGGGTGCGTGGGAGGAAGGGGGGGGAACTGACAGAGTTTCGGACCTCATCTTTTTTTAAAAAAGGAATTTGATCTCCTAACAAATTATAGAAGTCACCAATTTGTGCTGCCATGTTCAGAAACAGTAACTTGTTACATGACCTGTTATGTGGCTCATTGCTTTTCGTCATGTCCTTTTAGAGCGGGGAGAAACTAAGAATTGATAAGAAACAGGAGCTTCAACCCAGATATCCTTTTTTTTTTTTTTGCGGGGGGACTACAACTCCCAGAAAGCACAGTTTCCTTGGTGGTTGAGAATAATGGGAGTTGTAGTCCCCAACCACCCCAAAAAGCAACTTTTTCAAAACATGCAACATGGGTTCACACGTGTACAGAGAAGATGATGTATTTCTGAGTGCAAATCACCCTGCTTTTTCTGTACCCGTTTAATTAATCAATTAATCAATTAATTAATTTTTATTAGATTTATTAGGTACCCATGGGCCTGGAGGGCTGCTTATGGGCCTTTTGGTTCAGCCGGAGGCCATGTCAGCTGTTTCCGCCCCACCTCTCTGGGTATTGCTTCAAAACCCCGAGGAGGGAAGGGCCGGCGGGTTTGAGATTTCGCACTGTGTACAGGCTGTTCCCGGCAAGGTCAATGCTGCTTGGCTTGTCCTCCTGGATAATCCCATTTCTCTGGGAAGGAGACCCCACCCTGCACCATTGACGTCCCAGAACCCAGAACTGCTGGATCGCTCCGTGTTTTTTAGTCTCTTGCTGCGAAGCCAGAGGTTGGGAGTTCGATTCTCCCACTGGGCCTCCTCGACACGGACTGGACTGGATGATCCATTGGGTCCCCTTCCAGCTCTGCAAGTTCTAACATAATGATGATGATCATCATCTTCAAATTAAAAAGGGATGGGAATAGGGCCGATTCCTGCTGATCCATCTCTCCGTCCTTCTTCTCTTTCGTGGGATAGATTCTGCCCTGTTACTTAGCCGCTTCCAGTGCACAGATGATGATATCATCTGTCTTTCACTGGCTCTGCTCCTCCACCTCTAAATGGCTACCCTGAGATGTTCAGCAGGCAAAAAAAACTTTCCCCTCCCAGTACATTTGCAGGTCAAGGGAAAATTTGACCCACCGAAATGCAGGTTGCTTTGTAAAAGCACAGGAGCAGGAGTGGGTGAAATGTTGGCAACCCCCGGGGAGTGTCGGAAGCTAAGCTGGGAATCATCCTTGCTTGAGACCAGACTTTACATGCAATTTAATTATAAGTAAAGTAGTTACAAATCACTTCTTTCTCGATGTGCCTCGTGTTCTGCGTGTCGTTCGTAATGTATGCCTCTTTCTCCTATATTGATTCTCTGTGTGTTTTGTTTTATTTTAATTTAATTGGTATTTTCTTTTATCGTCGTCCCTTGCCCAGAAAAGTGCATTGCACTCGTGGGATTTATTTTTGTGCATGTGTGTGTACCTATATGTGCACACACATGTGTGTACACAGACAAAGACACACACACACACACAATTCCCCATCTAACAATCCGGGGTAAAGAGCCAGAGTCTTAAGGAGTGACGACAACGGGGCGACTCATGCTAATAAAATGTCAACAAAGCGTCGCTAAAAGCTAAGAAAACAAGAGGAAAACAATGTAGAAACGGGGCAGCATTTCCGATAACTGCATCGGGAGGAAATTGGGACAGTTCCAAGTGATTTGCGGCAGATCAATTTAATTTTACATAGCAACTTTCTTGGCCTTTTAAAAGCAACGCCCTGTGCCGTGAATTCCACGAGAACGAAATGGGGCGAAAGCAAAATATATTTCTTGCATTTATTTAGAATATTTTAATCCCGCCTTTCTCCTTTAAAAAGACCCAAGGCGGCGGACGTCATTAAAAAGGACACACAAATGGATGTTTAAAAAATTATAATGTTGTTTCTTTTTTGTTACTCCTGGGGACACGGACTGAACCGGGTGACCCCTTTGAGAACCCCAGGTTGAAGCCCTACAGACATAGGGGCAGACCTGCTAATGCAGCTTATGCTTGTGCGCCCCGGATTCCAGAGAGGATGAGTTTAGTCCACTTTTAAAAAAAAAATTGTGTTGATCAATTGTAGAACAACCCCACGCAAGGAGATAACAATGGTGGCCCAGATCTCCTTGCTGGTTGCGGAGAGGATCCCAAAACAGCCTCCCCCCCCAAAAAAAAAATATCGAGGCCCACCCCTGGGCCTCCCCACAACTTTTTTCAAAGTTTTACAAAGTTTGGGCTCAGGACACGTAGAGGAATGGCCCTCTCCTCGGGCCCGGTGTCCGGCTTTTTGTGGGTCACTGTGGACCGTGCGGAAGCCGCGTTCGGATCTTCTGCCGCCGGACGGACACCCAAACACACACGTTCTCTGTCCTCCCCCTTGCTTGTGGTTCTTTCTTGCGCTCGCCTAGGCCGGCTGGGCCTTATTTTTCTTTTTTCCAGGCCGAGCTTGGAGGGCCCAGGGAAGCCATTCCTGAGCCCGTGTGAGGGGTGGGAGCTGGACGCAGCCAGAGGTGTGGGCTGGGGGGAGCCAAGAGGAAGGAGGAGGGCGGCCAGAAGAGACAGCAGCTTTGTGCCTTACACACACACACAAACACACACATCAGGCCTTTTCCATCGAGGTTGCTATAGGAACTGGAGTGACAAAAGGCGAGGAAAAAAGTCTCCAGGGCCCTGTGCACACGGACAGGGAGGGAGCAGAAAAGAGAAGGAGGAGTTTCTTCTCTGCCACAAGTTTGATCGGCTGTTGTTGGAAAAGTTGCGGGCGCAGGGGAAGCGATGGGGGGAAGGCGGGCACCGCTGGATCCATGGCCGTAGGAAGCCTCCGGCGGCCATGGCCGGGGCGGCCGAGGCGCCAGGCCTGGCAGGTAGGCACAATGCAAGATTTGCCAGGGTTTCCTGGCCTATTTGGGGGGTTTTCCACCACCCCCCTTTGCATGCTTCTTCCTCGATCCCTCCCTTTCCTCCCCCCCACCCCACTTTTCTGGCTGCTCCACCAAACACAGGCTGCCCTTGCGCCTTCTTTGCACCCACGCTGGGGGAACATCCACGGGAGGGGGGCGCTGGGATGCAGGAGGCTGGCGTGGGCAGCCCACCCAGCCGGGGGGGTGGGAGGGAAGGAGGAAGGGGGGTGGATTTGACTCCAGCTCCCTTTGCTGCGCTCCAGGGCTGGCGGAAGGGGGAAAAAAGGCATTCCGGAGCCCGGGAATCTGATGCTCGGCACGGTGGCTCAGGGGTTTAAGGCCTCCGGTGGCGGAGTCAGAGGTCGCGGGTTCGATTCCCCCATGGGGGGGCTTCCTGGACAGGGGCTGGACTGGATGATCCATAAGGTCCCTTCCTGCTCTGCCGTTCTGAGAATGAACTACTGGGCAGCTTGGGGGGGGTTGAGGCCTCCGGTTGGAGAGCCAGAGGTTGGCGGTTCAAATCCCTCGCTGTGCCTCCTTAACAGGGGCTGGACTGGATGATCCCCAGGGTCCCTTCCAGCTCTGCAGTCCCTAAGAGGATGATAATGATGATGCACAAGACCTCCTTCACTCAGGGCTGGGAGAGGCACCAAGTTCTGTCTCCAGCGTGCAAAACGGATGGATGTCTTTTTTTATCGAGGCCAATCCTCTGTCTGAAAAACTGACAAAGGAAAGGCATGTATGGGCTGCGTGGCCTAATTCTGTTTTTTTTAAATAATTTGATTAACGTAACTTCCCAGCCTCCAAAAACCTGTGGAAACATCAGGTAGAGAAAGTGTCAGAAAATGAGGATGTCAAGATTTTGTGGGATTTTCGGATCCAAATGGATAGACACCTTGAACATAACACACCAGGCATAGTAGTAATAGAACGAAGAAATGTCTGGATCATTGACATTGCAATTCCCATGGATGCCAGAGCTAAAAATAAAGAATTGGAAAAACTAACACAGTGCAAAGACCTAGCAATCGAAACATCTTGCATCTGGAAGAAACACACTTCAGTGGTCCCCATGGTCCACTGGGGCTTTGGGAACAATATCAAGCAACTTCACACAGTATTATAAGCGGAATTCGCACCATCAGAGCTACAAAAAAAAATGGCAATATTAGGAGCAGCATACATACTGTGTCACTATATAATAGACACTTAGGTTTTTGGTTAAAACATCATCATCATCATCATCATAATGGGGGTGTCAAGCTATATGTTTGAGATAATGTTTTGTGGTTTGTTTGGGGGGCCCATCAAGGAAACGCACCCTTTCAGAGCGAAACAAAACGCCAAATTCTTATCGGCGCTGATGATTCGTATGCTTCACGGTTCATGGGATTCGGGATTTCTGGGAGTCGTAGAACGGCCCTCATATGAGAGAAAGACACCAAATTTGCACCAGGTCTTCAGCCGAGTCTCCTCTCCTCCCCACCCCAGACTGACGAAGATTGGATTTGGGGACACCTGAGTTACAGTCCCCCAAAACAAGTTCCCTCAGGAAGGCGTCCTCGAACTCACGAGGGGCAATTCTTCCGCTTCCCGAAGTCCCGAATGGCACGAATCACAAAATAGTTCCTTGCGTCGCAAAATTCGTGGTTCACAGTTCGTGAATAGTGACAAATCACGGCCCATCACAAACCGCCGTTTCCCCCTGTTCATGCCCGCATACCTCCATCTAAATCCAATGGGAATCCCAAGTTAGAAGGGAAGCCGTTCCATGAATCGCTGAGATATAGCTCAGTGGGTTGGAGAGATTTCGGGCTGGGAATTCAAGTCTTCCCAGCCTGAAAGCTGCCTTGTCGGGACAGGAACCAACTAGGATCAGCCAAAGGATGTGTGGTTGATGGGGTCCCATCTGTTGGTCATCTGTGTGACTTTGGACAAACTGCACCGCGGCCCTGGAGCGCCACCAAGAGGCAGGAGTAAGAAACCGTCCCCGAGTACTTAATCCCTTGAAAAGTTTGGCACAGTCGCCGTCACTCGGAATTGACTTGAGGGCCGTGATGATTAAGTCAACACTTCCTGAAATCCTCTAGATTCAGTGGGTCTCTTCTGGTCGGGGCAAACCTGAGCTGGCCCTACCATTAGAGGTCGTGAGGCAGTGGCTTCAGGGAGCGGAGCGGAAGGACGACATGCCTTCAACACCCTGATGGCGCTCCTCTCCCTCAGGAGCAGCCTCGGGCCCCTTTCAGGAGAAAATTGGGGTAAAAATAAAATCAAGCAGCAACTAGAACTACAGGTCCTTCACCAGAGCTATCCGCCTAGGGCAGGGAATCTCGACCAATGGGTCCCCCCAGATGTTCTTGGACTTCAACTCCCAGAAATCCTGGCCAGCAGAGGTGGTGGCGAAGGCTTCTGGGAGTTGCGGTCCAAGAACATTTGGGGACTGAAGGTGGGGAACCACTGATCCGGCGAAGACAGGATGTGAAGTGAAGTGGGGTGAGTTATTTACTTTATTCTGTTTTAAATTCTACCTTTCTGCTTGAGAGGACTCGAGGAAAAGCAGGGACTGAAGGTGGGGAACCACTGATCCGGGGAAGACAGGATGTGAAGTGAAGTGAGTTATTTACTTTATTTTGTTTTAAATTCTACTTTCTGCTTGAGAGGACTCGAGGAAAGGCGTGGGAATTTGGTACAGGGGGTATCTCTGGACACTTCCCCCTTGTCTTTTTCTTCTTCTGATGGTGATCATGGCATTATAGACTTGGCCATAGCTTTCTCCTCTCGGCCCTTCTCATTCCATACGTGATGACAGAACAACGAGGAGGGTTGCTTTCGCCGTTGCCTCCCCCTCCAACCCTCCTCTCTCAGCTATGCTAAGAATTGCAGCCGAGCTCGGAGGATGAACTTGGCTGGGGGGGGGAGAGAGAGATCTGGTGGAGGACGTGAAATAGCTAAGAGCGCGCGGAAGAAGGAACTTTCGCCTGAGCTGAGGAGAGAAAGAGATGTCCTGGGATCTAGCCTTGCTTTGTTTTCCGAGCTCTGCCCCATATAACTCAACTGAGCCTACTCTGTAGACAGCCTTGTCTTCAAGGATGACTAGATTTGTCGTTTTTTCATGAGTCAGCTCGTTTAAGCAAAGCCTGGCGGGGTGAAATCTTAAAAGCGAGGGACGAATGCCTCCTTCAGTGTCAGGCACTATAGATTCATAAAATCCTAGAATCGTGGAGTTGGAAGGAACCTCTAAGGCCATCCAGTCCAACCCCGTTGCTCGAGACGGGAATCCAAAACAAAGCAGATCTGACAGAGGATGGTCTCTGGACACCTCAAGCGTTGGAGCGCTCATCCCCTCTCGGGGTTATGAGTTCTGTTGTCATGCTACTCTAACAGTTAAGAAGTATTTCCGGATATTCAGCCTAAATCTGGCTTCCTGTTGCTTGAGCCCATGATTCTACGTCCTGGGCTCAACTGCCTCGGTCCATGAAGGAATCCGAGAAGGATATTGGGTTCTCCCTCCTTGTTCTAGAAAAGCACCCCTTTGCACGCCTGATCCTGGTCGGCGGGCAAGACTAGTTATTATGAAACCAGATGCACGACAGCGCATGGCGAAGGCTTCTGGGAGTTGCAGTCCGAGAACATCTGGGAGCCCCTGGCATTTTGGAACTCTCTAACAGAGAATCCGAAGCGGTGCATTAAACTTCAAATCCCATGATTCCACAGGGCGGAGTCATGACCCTGAAAGCGAGATGAACGTTGCTCGAACTGTTGGATAGGTCGGTGTTAGACAGGGGGTGGGCTTGATGACCTATCGGATCCCTCCCAGCTCGGCGGTTCTCGGATTATTATTGTAATTACCATATTATTACCATACACTTTTTGGAACCGTCTTGCACGTTTCAGCCAGTATCAAAATTTTCTGGAAGAAAAACAGCGCCAGAATTCACCAATGTGTCGAGATCCATTTATATTTAAATTATAGTCATTATTCTTCCGAAGCAACATCTCTGTGCAAATGCAAATTTAAGGCTCTTGTGTGTCTGTTTTTTGTCCATGGGAAGGTGCGTATGCATGCATGCATCTATTCATGTATGTATTTGCGATGCATTTCCTCTCTTTTTCGGATGCCCTGTGCATGGCCATTTCACACGTGCATGGCCATTTCGCTCACCACATAACACATTCTGAAAGCAAAACACTGGAGAGAAAGCCAGCTGTATTGTTGGTGAATTAAGCCGGAAGGGACACAATTATCCCTCAGTCAATGAGGCCACGATCCGAGGGTCCGGGACCCCCTTTTTCCATGGGTTTGACCCTCTGGGGTCCACACCAACCCCATCACGAGAGATTCCAAGTCAACAGAAGAGCCCTTCGTTCTGCTTTAAAAAAAAAAAGCGGAACGTTTCGGTTTTTGCTAAAAGAAAGCCTGTTCTGCAGAGAGGCTTCAAAATCTTGTTCTAGACGAGAACCGGGCTCCCAAGAGACACGATTCTCCTCATACAGGGCGAGGATTTTTTAAAAATTAACCTTTTTGGTGCCAAAAATGATCCTTTGGCGAGGATGCCAAAAAATTGTGTCGGGGTGGTGCGTGATTTCCAAACTTGATCTAGGAGGATATGAAGTGTTTCTAGATGCAACCAGAAGGCTGACAGATGTGGAGAGACCTGAGGGGGGGGCGTTGGCCCCTATTTCCGAGAGATCACACTTTGCAGAGGGCTTCGCACGCAGGCAGGTAGGGGATGATGGGGAGAGAGGGCCATCAAGCCCCTCTCGACCTTTGAACTGCAGATCTGGATAGTGGCTTAGGTCTCTGGCTGAGAGGCCAGAGTTTGGGACTTCAATTTCAGAGTTTGGGAGTTAAATTCCCCACAGTGCCCCCTGGGATGAGGGCCGGACTCGATGACCCATCGGGTCCCCCGGAATCTCCTCGCCCAGCATGGCCGGCGGGATTTTCGGGACTTCTTGAGCAACAAAGCCGTTTCCTCCAAAACTCCGGATGACGGAGACGTTCCCGCACGCGAGAGGCTAAGCGTGGGGCATCATGCGTGCCCCATGCGCCAATAAAAGAGAGGGCTGGACGCTGAACGAAAAGGGGAAACGGATCAGCAGGAGGAAAAAAGGAAACAGTGGGAAGGAAGGAGTGTCGCCAATAAAAGAGAGGGCTGGACGCTGAATGAAAAGGGGAAATGGATCAGCAGGAGGAAAGAAGGAAAAAGGAAACAGTGGGAAGGAAGGAGTGCATTTCACCCAAAGTTCAAGGCAGCTGTTCCATGTCCCTCCCCTTCAAGTCCGCCTGCTTCTTTCAGCATGGACGCCTCCCCGTCTTTCTGTCCGCCCAGTGATGGTAACGGTGATTTTTAAAAAAAATAAAAAATAAAATGTATACTCCGCCAGCTGTTAGCAATTAGAAACTGGATCTGCCTCCCGGCCCCGGGGCGGGAAGAGTTTTAACGCTTTCCTGCTTCGCTACCAGGATGTGAGGGACTTTTTAGGGTTCGCTCGGGGCAGAAGGCCTGATCAGGACGCTGAAAGTCAGCAAGAAAATGGGGTCCTCTTGCCATCAGAAAAGGGAACATTTCTTCAGTTGGGGGGGAAGCGCATCAGGACCCTCTCCTCGTGTCGATCGAGCGGCGTAGGAAAGCCGCATCACCAAACTTTTAATATTATTATTGCCATACGTAGATTTATTTTTGGGGGGTGGGAATGCCCGCATGCCCCTCTAACAGCTGTAAAAGTTTTTTTTTTTTGCTATTGGTTATATTCTCTTAATTGTTAATAATAAAATACATCAAAATAGGAGGAGGGGAGGTTTCAAGAGAGGCACTAAGCCAGCTGTGTTCTTCCCAATATAACTGTTCTCGTCTCTACAAACCGGAGTGTAAGAATCCGAACCCCTTTTGGGCGGCGATTCCATTGACGATACTCCGGTGGACGAAGTGATCCATGAAATTGTGAGTTTCGAGATTCTCCCCTCTTCAGGGGGGAAAAAAAAAGGACGTGCCACACAACTCATTGAAGCAGATCAACAGCTACCTTGCAGGGGAAACCATCATCTTTTTTTATCACGAGGATTCTTCCCAGGCACTAGGAGAAAGAATTAAGCAAGATGTTCGTCTCGTATTCCAGGGAATAAAACAGCAGGAGTCCATTCTGTAGGGGTCACTAGGGAAGGATGATTGTCATTCTTCCGGCCCGTTTCCCATAATCTCAGAAACTGGGGTGCAGAATTCCTTTTGCCTTGAGGCTCAGATTGAATTATAGATGAATTCTCGCCGAGATGCTGTGAAATTATTGAAGGGGGGGGAGGCAGAGCAAAACGATGGCCACCCAAAATAATCTATAATTAACAATATTGGGAACCACATATATACTGTGTTGATATTCAACAGATACTTAGTTTTTCGATTAAAACTTGTATCTGTTACATAATCCCACTCAATGTTTTTATAATTTTGAGTGACGGTGTCTGGTATTTTTGAGTAACAACAACAACAACAACAACTGAAGCATCTGTTAACTATCAGAGCAGTATGTGTGCCATTATTTGTAGCAATAACATAATTAGAGCTACAAAAAATGGCAATATTAGGAGCAACACACATGCTACGTCGATATTTAACAGACACTTAAGTTTTGGGTTAAAATGTGTATCTCTTATGTAATACCGGTCAATGATTTTATAATTTTGATTGACTCTGACTTGTATTTTTAAATTGTCATCATCATCATCATCTAATAACTATAGAACAACAGAGCTGGAAGGGACCGCATAAGATCATCCAGTCCAGCCCCTGTTTAGGATGCCCCCATCATCATCATCATCTAATAACTATAGAACTACAGAGCTGGAAGGGGCAGCATAAGATCATCCAGTCCAGCCCCTGTCTAGGATGCCCCGTGGGGGAAATCGAACTCCTCACCTCCGGCTCTGTAGACGGAGACCTCGAACACGGAGCCATTGTGGCTGAAAGGGCTTATTTCAAGTCCTTGGGAGAAGGCTGGGAAGACTATTTAGCAGGAGAAAAACATAATGAACTCGGGAAACTGTGAAAAAAACACAGTGCAAGCCAAGAGGGCCAGATTCAAGTTCCAGGAGGGCGAGACTAGAACCCGGGACCTGAAGTTTTTTTTTCCAAATAGGTGCATACATTAAGCAACTGGAAATGTAGCTACACACCAAATGATGTGTTTTTTTAATTCCCTCTTCTTTTTTCCAGAAACGTGAATGGCAGTGACGGACCGCCCGAGGGCGCTGCCCGATTGATGCTCGGACAGTGGGAAGCGCCTCCCGCATCACGAAGGATGCTCTGCTTGCCCGTCTTGCTGCTGGCTGGCCTCTCGTGGTGCTTCAGCTCCGAAGTCAACCCCGGTAGGAAAGTCGACGGCGCAGGGCTGGGAACCCTTCTTGAAGCTATTTAAAAATATCACCATAATCTGCGCTCGGCTTTACCCCCTTTTCTCTTCCACAGCTATATGCCGGTATCCTCTGGGAATGCACGAAGGGACAATCCAAGATGAGGACATCACCGCTTCCAGCCAGTGGTACGACTCTACTGGGCCCCAGTACGCACGGTGAGCCAGAGCGAATGTTTTTCTTTGCTTAACTTGTTATGTTTTTAATTCTCTTCTTTTCCTATGGTGAGCCCCCTCGGGTCTCCTTCTCCGGAGCAACCTGGCCTTGTGAGATCCAGATTCGAGTCTCCGCTGAGCTAAGATGCTTACGAGATAACTTTGGGCCACTCTTAGCTTGATCTCTTCATCTGATCCCACGGTGTTTGTGAAGACAGACGGAGGGTCTGCTGCCTCGAGGTCACTGGATAAATTTTACTAAATGAGGAAAAGACAATTTTGTTGTGAATTTAAACATAAATCTACAAGGGGGTTGAAAGTAAATGGCAAGGGGGTTGGACTGGATGGCCTCAGAGGTCCCCTTCCAGTTCCATGATTCTCTGATTTTACTCTCTCTCTCAAAAACTCAGGTTGCTGAGAGAGGAGGGTGATGGGGCTTGGTGCCCGGCGGGTCTCCTCCAACCAGAAGATGTGCAGTTCCTCCAGATTGACCTCCACAAACTCTACTTCATCACCCTGGTGGGGACCCAAGGCCGGCACGCGCGGGCCACGGGGAAGGAGTTTGCTCGGGCCTACCGGATCGATTACAGCCGCAACGGGGAGCGCTGGTTGTCTTGGAAGGATCGTCAGAACAGGCAGGTGGGTGAGAACGGTCAAGAAGGAAAGAGATACTTTGGCACGGAACACATTAATTTGCAGGAGATACCCCCACTTTCTTTTCTAAGGGAAAAAAAGCGAGGATTCATAAATCTGCGCTTTTCACCCCGTAATTATCCTTGTCCATTTGGATAAAAGCCACAAGTAGAGACCTCAAGGTTTCCAAATGTGGCAGGATGTAGATAGAAAGGCTGCGGTTGTGAATAACGGGAGTAATCAAAAAGTGGCTAAAAAGAAGAGCTCTTATTGAAAATTTCAGCTCCTTCCAGAAAATGAATTGCTTTCCACAATTTCTGTGTCTTTCCTGGAGGGATCTGGTAACTTCTTCCCCGTAATTATCCTTGTCCATTTGGATAAGAGCCACAAGTAGAGGCCTCAAGGTTTCTAAATGTGGCAGGATGTAGATAGAAAGGCTCCGGTAGAGAATAACGGGAGTAATTTAAAAGATGCTAAAAAGAAAGTAAGAATAGCTCTTATTGAAATTTCGGTTCCTTCCAGAAAATGGATTGCTTTCCACAATTTCTGTGCCTTTTCTGGAGGGATCTGGTAACTTCTTCCCCTGTTCCAGGTGATTCAAGGCAACGTGGACACGTACGATGTCGTGCTGAAAGACCTTCGCCCTCCCGTCATCGCCCGCTACATCCGAGTGATTCCGGTGACTGAGCAGCCCATGACCGTCTGCATGCGAGTAGAACTCTATGGTTGTGTTTGGTCTGGTAAGGATTTACATCTTACAAAGCAAGTTCTGGCAAGGCTTCGAGGGAATTCTTGCCACAGAACCCAAGACCTTTTACTCTAGCTCACTCATGCCTAACCTTCGGTCCCCAGATGTTCTTGGGACTCCATTTCCCAGAAATCCAGGCTGGCACAGCTCGTGGTGAAGGCTTCTGGGAGTTGGAGTCCAAGAACATCTGGAGACCCAAGGTTGGGAGCCACTGCTTTAGCTGGTATCTCCCCTCTTACTGGAGGATGACTCTTGCTGAGTTGTTCTCCAGCACCACTACTGGCCAGGAGGTGGTATTGCAGCTCACGACACCACAGGAGTCAGGTGACACAAATAGGCCAATCAACTTCCACTCGATCCTGTGATTCGGTTCTAGATCCTCAGTAGGAATAGAGCAGTGCTCAGGTGTGTGAATTTAGCTACAGTTACTTTACTAATTTTTAGTGGTCTGCCGGTTTACCTGATTCTAAAGCTTGGAAATAACACCTTACCTGCAATTTAATTAGCTGTAATGAGTTACTTTTGGAAGTAATTTCAGCAGTAATGTCACAAGTTGGAGCAGATGCTTTACTGATACGAGTGATTTCTTTTCCCCAGTTTGTTTTTGAAAGTACTTTTTTCAAGTATGTATGTATTTAAAATTTATGCCACTCAATTATTCAGAATCTCTAAAGTTTTATGTTGTTGCATTGTCAAAGGTAAAGTGTTTCTCTCTCTCTCTCTCCATTTGAAGTAACAAGGGGAAAAAGAATGATGTAATGGCTAGTGTCACAAGTTACTTTTCAAACATTGTAACAAGTAACAGTGAATTACTTTTCCAAGCACTGCAGGGACAGGAAGGAAAAAGGTTGAAAAAGAGTGGTTTTGCAGGCTCGGTCTGTGTCCCACCTTAGCTATGTTCTCCGGTTAAGAAATCTGGGGTGCCACGAGTTTGAGAAGATTTTGTTTCTATCCCTCATACGGGCAAGTTCTTTGGTTGACCTTCCGCTTTCTCCTTTCCTTTAGATGGTTTAGAGTCCTACCACATGCCCGAAGGAGAGGTGATGGCCGCTCCGGGCCATCCCACCGTCTATCTGAACGACTCCACCTACGATGGCTACCAGGAGCGCAAGTAAGAACACGTCTCACACACACACACACACACACACACAACACATTTATATCACTTATTGTGTTTCTCTTAGTCACCATGAGAGGATATGAGTCATGGAAGCTCCTGAAATTATATGCCCGGATACTGTATGTGCGTGACTTTAAGGGCATGAAATTAACAAACAAGGTTTTTTTTTATATATAAATACCAGCCGTTTAGGGAAGATTGACCAGCCTTGAGACTCTGGAGGTGAGATAAGGGCTTAAAATTATTTTTCTCCTTCCCAATGACCTGGCAAAAAAAATTCTAAGAGCAGTTAGATAGATAGATAGATAGATAGATAGATAGATAGATAGATAGATAGATAGATAGATAGATAGATAGATAGATAGATAGATAGATAGATAGATAGATAGATAGATAGATAGCATGGTAAAAGGGGAAAAGCCCCAGAAATGATTTCCACATGTATTACCAGAACTGGCCACTAGAGACAACAGAGATCACGCTATGTATTCTTCGCTAACAGGTATTCATAGCACAATCTCTGGCTCCCTTCGGTGGCTGATTCTGGTAATATATATGAAAATAGTTTTAAGATTTTTCAGACTATGGATAAGTGAAGCAGTGAGTATTGATCTCATGGATAAGGGGGCGTCCTACTGTATACTAAAGTAATACAATTCTATGTATGTATGTATGTATGTATGTATGTATGTATGTATGTATGTATGTATGTATGTATGTATGTATGTATGTATGTATGTATGTATGTATGTATTAGTGGTTAATATATATGTTTATAATATATGTCTGCACAATGTGTATATATTAATAATGAACTGCATCTCTCAAATGGATCCAGAAAAATGTTAATCGGAGTGCTGTGGCCAATCCCCTCTTAGTCTAGGAATTATCTTCAGGTAGTGTGTGTGTCAACGCAAGCGCTCTCTTGGCAGGCTCCTGCACGGTGGGTTGGGCCAATTGACCGATGGCATCTTAGGCTTGGACGATTTCACCAAGAGCCACCAGTACCGCGTGTGGCCAGGCTACGATTACGTCGGCTGGCGGAACGACAGCTTTCGGAACGGCGCCGTCCAGATGGAGTTCCAGTTTGACCATCAGAGGAACTTCACCTCCATGAAGGTAAGGGACTGTGTGCGGTGTCCTAAGAAGTTGTTTCGTGTGCCGATGGCCGCGGAGGAACTTCACCTCCATGAAGGTAAGGGATTGTGTGCGGTGTCCTAACTACAATGCCCGTAGTTCCCCCAAGAGGGACAGAGTACCATCGCCGTGATTCCACCATAACGGCACAGGCGCTTCCTCCAGCCGACCCTTCCCTTCGATCTCCAGGTCCATTGCAACAACATGTTCTCCAAGGGCGTGAAGATCTTCGAAAGGGTGGAGTGCTTCTTCAAGCCGCAGCTCTTTGCTGAGTGGGAACCGGAGCCGGTGGGAGCAGACACCGTCTTGGACGACAAGAACCCCAGTGCACGCTTTGTGACCGTCCCCCTCCACCACCATGTGGGCAAAGCCATTCTCTGCCATTTCTACTTTGCTGATGCTTGGATGATGATCAGTGAAGTCTCCTTCCAGTCAGGTGAATGCCTCCCTCCGTCCTCTCTTGTCCCACCCAAGAACTTTATAGGCATGTACCGCCCGCCAAACAGAAGCAGCATTAATATGCAAGCACACCCATGAGGGCTTCTTTACCTTAACTTCCACCCCAAGTCAACACTTCTTTACCTTAACTTCCACCCCAAGTAAACACTTAACTTCCCATCCAAGAACATAATCCTGCCTGTCACTCCACTCCCTATGGCAAATAAATATATGTATGGAAGATCCGAAACGAAACGCAGACTAGCGCTGTATCATCATCCCCATCAGCCCCATCATCATACTTTTCTTCTGGAATCGTATTTCTTGTTGTTTTTCGAAAACACCAGCCATGGTCAATCGAAATGATAAAACGTTGGCTGGTCTTCGATAACAGATGATGATGATTGTTGTCATTAGTGAAAACAATACGAGCAGCAATCCAGCTGGGGTGAGCAACTGGTGATTGGACAGCTTGTGTTGGATGAGATTCTTTTTTTTATACATGTTGTATCTCCAGTGGACATGGACGCCACCGATCCTATCGTGATCATCACCCTGGCTGCGAGCACCACCACCTCATCAGTACTTCTTCCATCAGAGGAAACGAATGCTACAGACGAAATCTGGGGTAAGGACTGTGTTTCTTGCTTTAAGAAGTAAACTCTGCTGCCCTTTCCCTCCACAAATTAATCCCGAGAACGGTGGGGAGCACAGAGTTGACCATGTATGTTATATTTAGAATGCTACAGACGAAATCTGGGGTAAGGATTGTGTTTCTTGCTTTAAGAAGTAAACTCCGCTGCCCTTTCCCTCCACAAATTAATCCTGAGAACGGTGGGGAGCACGGAGTTGAGCATGTATGTTATATTTATATTTCTTTCTTCCCCCCCTTTCTTTTTAAGCTGATCCATTAGCGGCGTTTCGTTTATTTCTTGCTATTATATCTATATTTAAAATCTTAACACATTTTAAGAGTCGGACACGACTGGACAAAAATTGTCAAGGGGAACCTTTACCTTTACCTTTTCTTTTTAAGCTGATCCATTAGCGGTGTTTCGTTTATTTCTTGTTATTATATCTATATTTAAAATCTTAACACATTTTATTTATTTTCAATAATATTTCCATATTCATTTCCCTATTTATTTTACTTTTATGCTTTGTAGCCCTCCCACCCCCTGCAAATGTCTCTCCAGAAACAGAGCGATTCCTATCCAGGAGTATAACTTTCCCCTTTCTCAAACGCATGCACCCAAAAAAATAAATTCCAGATTTCTTTAGAATCCTTTCTCTTCCGTCTTTCTTTTCTCCCCTTCGGTTTGCGCGTTCGTTTAGAGCAACGTCGCTTACAAAGAGATTTGTGTTAGGAGAAATCTCTTGCATGTCGGCTTAGAATGGAAAATCGGAACCTTCACAATGAGCTGAACTTTTTTGAGCTCGGAAAATATGAACCCGCAGAGGCTGAAATGAGCAGATCTGGGTAGTTCTGTTGACTGTCTGTCCTACATTTCCAGGAACCACGTTCCCTTCTGTAACAAGCCCCTTGGTTTTGCTGAAGGCAGATGGCTCCAGCACTTCCAGTTTGGTGGGCTGCCTGGTGGCCATCATCCTGCTCCTCCTGGTCGTCATCATCACCATCCTGTGGAGGCAGTACGCCCAGAAGCGCCTGGAGACGGTAGTGTGTGTCCCATAGGCTGGCCGGCTGGCCAGTTCCGCCTGGCCGGAGGGGAAACCCCTATCTTTCCCATGTGCCCCTTCCTCTTCTTTCGCACCCCTGCGAAGTGTGGCTTCAGTGGGAGTGGGATTGTCGAACTGCGCGAGCAGCGAACAGGGTGTCTCGAACACAGAGCGGGCGTAGAAAGGGCGGTTGCCAGCTTTGACGGGCAGAAGATGGGGAGAGAAATTATTGCTCCAAGGATTTTTTTTCACAGTTGGGAAAATTAAACATCTTGGATCCCATCTCCCAGAATCCACCAGCCAGCGTGGCTAACAGGGGATGCTAGGAAGTGTAGTCCAAGAAACGGTGACCTGTTTTTAGCTCTGGAAGAGTAATGCTAATGGATGGCATTTTATTTGTAGACAAGGTTACATTGGCCAAAGGATGCCTCCCTATATAAAGGCAGTCTACCTGTCAATCCTATCTTTTGCAAAACTCACACATTTTCAAGTAGAAATATGTACGTGATGTCTGGATAATTTTGGGAGTTGTAGTCCAAAACCACAAATATTTACTGTCCTAACTTCAAGCATAATTTCTCAATCATAAGGGCAAGAGTCTTTTCTTTGTATTCTTGAAGGCTTTCATGGGTGGGATCCGATGGTTGTTGTAGTTTTTTGGGGCTGTTTGGCCACGTTCTGAACGTTTTTCTACTTAACGTTTCGCCAGTCTCTGTGTTCACCGACAAGAGTTCTGACTCCCGTCCTCTGAAGATGCCGGCCACAGAGACCGGCGAAAGGATAGGAAGAAAATCCTTCAGAACACGGCCAGACAGCCCGAAAAAAACCTAGAAACACCAGTCTTTTGTTTATTCAGTGTTTTTCTACCTCGAAAGGGCCAAAACACAGGAAAGGCACAGCTTTGCAATTAGAAGCAGATCTGGCATAAGCTGTAAAAAAAACACATAGGATTATCCTCTGACTGATTAGCTTCACAACTTTGCAAGTTGCAAATTAAGTTGGCTTTTCTTGAGGGGTCAGTCCTGGCGAGGAAACCACCGGCTCTGTTTACATGTTGGTTTCGTGAACACGGCAGCTTTCGAGAACGCTCCTCTGGAGGGATCACGTGCTCTCTCGGAACTACCCATTTCATTCTGTTGCAACCTTGAGCTTTTCAACAAACCGGATCCAGGCTTTCCCCTTGCCGAACCTCCTCCCCCCTTAGGTAGGCGACTGTCTTTCGCCCTCCGCTCAGGGAGCTCACCGTCCTTCTCGCCCCCCTTCCCCAAGGCTCCTCGGAGGATCCTGGAAGACGACGCCACGGTCCGACTCTCCTTCTACAGCTCCAGGATTGTCAGCGGCCAGACGCAGATCCATCAGACGAACCCCACCTATGAGAGAGTCTTTCCGTTGGACCTCGAATACCACCAGCCCGTCACCCTCCTCCAGAAATTGCCAGAGCTGTCGCAGAGCGCGGAGGATTCAGGTAGGATGATGTCCCCAGTGGCAGCTGGACCTTTGGAAGCCGATAGACAGAAACCGATTGGATTCTTTGCTACAGCCGGCCTTACAGATTAGTACAGGCTCTGACACACAGCAAGACTTTTAAAAAAGAGTTTTCCCAGTTATACCACCTGGCTTACAATAAAATAGAGTGGGAGAACTATTTTTAATTACATATGCAGGGTTTTGTTCCTTCAATTAATTCTAGCAATGGGTGGGGGGAGGCGGGGGTCACTAAAATGGCCCAATCTTTTTATGTCATCCCTTTTCCTTTTTTTTCCTTTAGCCTCCCCCCCCTTACTCAGGGATTTGAACCCAGGTCTCCTAATCCAGCCCTCTCTATCCACTACCCCACACGGGCTCCCATGAAGGAGCCCGAGAAACATCGACCAACACCAGATAAATTCAGTTTAAATCGCATGGATCGACGCACCGGGTTTTGATCCGAACCCCCCGTTTCCATCTTCTTTCTCCTCCTCCTTCCAGCCTGCAGCGGCGATTACGCCGAGCCGGACCTCACCAAATGCACGCCTCACCAAGGTTTCCAAAACAACGTCCCCCACTACGCGGAGACGGACATTGTCAGTCTTCAGGGCGTCACGGGCAACAACACGTACGCGGTGCCGGCCATTACGGTGGACTCGTTGACCAAGAAGGACATCTCCGTGGCGGAGTTCCCGAGAGACCAGCTGCAGTTCAAGGAGAAACTGGGAGAAGGGCAGTTTGGGGAGGTAGATATATCACTCCCCTGCCCACCTACCCCCCCAAATGACTCCATAACCTCAAGGAGGGGCAGTATGGTGCAGTGGTTAGGCTGTTGCTCTGCGACATGGGAGATCCTAGGTTCCTAGTTCCTACTGGACCAAGACATTCATGATGGGACCTTGGTTGCGACATGGGAGATCCTAGGTTCCTAGTTCCTACTGGACCAAGACATTGACGATGGGACCTTGGTCCAAGATCTTGAGCTTCTCCAGCCCTAAGCTAGCGCCACCTTTCATCTCTCTCTCTCTCAGCCTGACCCACCTCATTGGGCACTGGAGTCCAGCAAGATCTAGAGCTCCAGCCCTAAGCTAGCGCCACCTTTCGGATCTTTGTGAGCGGATTAACCCTTCCACCCTACATGCTCCGCAGGCATGTTGGTTCTTAGCACAGAAGGGAGATGCCGCTTTGGAAGAGGTCTTCTCCATGCCCAATCTGTTAGACCAGGGGTTCCCCACCTTGGGTCCCCAAGAGGTTCTTAAACTCCCAGAAGCCTTTGCCACTCGCTCCGTTGGCCTGGATTTCTGGGAGTTGTAGTCCACACACCTCTGGGGGACCCAAGGTTAGACTACTGGGTTGGACTATTATTCTAGGGTTGCTTGATTCTCTTTTCCTCTGCAGGTCCATCTTTGCGAAGCCGACGGTCTGCTGGAATTCTTGGGCCGGGCTTCTCCGGAGACTCCCGGCCAGGCCGTCCTAGTGGCCGTAAAGATGCTGAGACCGAACGTCACCAAGACAGCTAGGTGAGCTCAAAAGCCGTAACGTCCCTCTAGAGAAGACTCCGTCCCAGCCGGGACTTAGCCCAGTGGCCTTCATTGGATGGTTTGACTGGGAGCACGCCTCTCTCTCCCAATGCACAGAACCTGCATCCAGTCGGATGGCACACATTATAATGGTGACTGCTGTAGGAAGAGATTCACTTGTGTGCCCTCCAGATGTTTTGAAAATTGTACAGTATGAAAATTGTAAACTGAAAATTTGATGAAAATTTTATGCCCCCCGAAAGGAGGCAGGCCCCTTTTTTCGCCCTCAGGAAATGCCTCTTTTAACGTTGCTTGCTTTAGTACATATGTAGGCCCTCTGAAAACGAAAAAAATATCTATTGCCCTAGGAACGTGTGAGCTGCAACTATAGGCCCATTGATTTCAAGATCGAGCCTCATTGAATATAGTAGAAGTGTCTTCTAATTTATGCTGCTCAAGATCCCTCTACGTTTGGATTTCAGTCATCCATTGATCGGCTGAAACACACCGAGGATTCGTAGGTTTCCTTCATCCAGTAACGGGCTGGCTTTCTTCGTTGGTTTTTATTGTCTCCAGGAATGATTTCCTAAAAGAAATCAAGATCATGTCCCGGCTGAAGGACCCGAACATCATCCGCTTGCTGGGGGTCTGCGTGCGGGACGATCCGCTGTGCATGATCACGGAATACATGGAGAATGGGGATCTCCACCAGTTCCTTCTGCAGAGGCAGAGCCGAAGCACCTTCACGCTCTCTAACAACCTCCCTTGTGTCAGGTGATGGAGGGGAAGACTTGGTGGGCCAAGGGAGGAGACGTCCGCCAAGAGTTGGTAGATAGACATCATAGGAATATAAGAGGATGCCATTGTTGACAGTCCCACGAGATGACCCTTCCACCCATTTCTTGTAGAGGGTTGCCCCCAACAGATGAAACACCTCTGTTCCTCCCAGCCCATGGTTTTCCTCACCTACAAATCTTGCATTTAGTGTGCTTTTGTTCTGTGACTGGTCGTTGTAAGGTCAACAAAGCTTAATCGGCATGTTCCAAGCCCAAGGCATGTATCTCGGGAAATCCGCTTTAATTTTTCGTCTAAAAATGTGTCATTTTTGTGCAGTTATTGGGCTTCTTGATGAAATCAGACCATATTTATATTATGACTGTGTGGTCGTGGTGAGCCCGGGTGGTTCAGTGTCTATAGTGTTAGGCTATGACTTGGAAGACCTGGGTTCAAATCCCCTCCTTTGGCCGTGGAACTGAATAGGTGACCTGGAGCACGTCAGTCTGGCCTGCCTCGCAGGGTTGTTTGGAGGACAGCTGTATTATGTCACCTTGAGTTTATTGTAAAAGTAGGGAATGTAATGAGTTTTTAAAAATAAATAGCAAAAAAACCTGTCCATTGGTTTACTCAAAGTCTGCCAGAAATACAACAGAGTTTAATAGACTTTAAAGAACCTTCAATTCACTGTCTTGTGTTTGGTGTGTTTTTTTGTGCGTTTGTCTGTGTGTCTTGTTTTGTGTCTCAGCTACCTCCACCTCCTTCTCATGGCTACGCAGATCGCCTCCGGCATGAAGTACTTAGCGTCTCTCAACTTCGTGCACCGAGATCTGGCCACTCGCAACTGCTTGGTTGGGAACAATTACACCATCAAGATTGCCGATTTCGGCATGAGCAGGAACCTGTACAGCGGGGACTATTACAGGATCCAGGGACGGGCCGTGCTGCCGATCCGCTGGATGGCCTGGGAGAGCATCCTTTTGGTAAGGGCCGAGACGGAATGGACAAGGGACACTACACCCTGAGCCGAGCAGGTGGCATTAACTGGGGCCCCTACTCAGTTGACATGTGGGTTCAAGCCTCTGACCTATCAGAATGATTAACAGCATAGCGTCTCCCTTTTGGAAAGTATCACACCTACACTTCTTAGGGTGCGATCAGACTTGCAAGAAGGGTGCATTAAAGGGAGACGCAAACTCAGAATCTGAGAAAGGCTGAACTTGATGGATTTATCCACTCCGAAGCCTCCTGCCTTGAATGACAGTTGCCTGCCGAGGACTTGATAAAGACAATTCTTAATTAAAAATGGAGGCTTGGTTTGATTTGATCTTGACAGTGGAACCCATTACCCCAAGAGTTGGTGAGTGCTCAAAAACTGGAGGCATTCACAAGAAACTTAGACAACCACCTGCCAGATCTGCTTTGATATGTATTCCTGCCTCGGGCAGGGGGTTGGACTGGATGGCCTTAAGAGGCCCCTTCCAACTTCCCTATTCTAGGATTCTACGATCCCGTGATTGATACGGCTTTCAAGTCGCTGTAGCCGTCTTCTTTTTCACTGTAGGGCAAGTTCACCACGGCGAGTGACGTGTGGGCGTTTGGCGTTACGCTGTGGGAGATGTTCACCCTGTGCAAGGAGCAGCCGTACAGCTGGCTGACCGATGAGCAGGTCATTGAGAACACAGGAGAATTCTTCCGGGATCAAGGCCGGCAGGTACAGGATCCAGACAACTTTTCCCTACTTTATTTATTTATTTATTGGACTTATATGCCACCCATCTAGACACAGTCTACTCTAGACGGCTCACAACAAAGAATATAAAAACAATTAACACATAACCATCATTTTACAGAGATTAACAATCATTCAAGATGCTGCTGTGTTGGCCAGTTTTCTTAGTTTCTGCTCGCCGCCGTGAAACAGATTGCTTGGAAAGAACACGGTCGATGAAGCCATTTCCATTAAATTCATTACTTTCACATCACGCAGCGACACAAGCCAACGAATGTGGCCGTGAAATGTTTTCAAGCGGATGGTTTTAGCGCTACAGCGTTACTTTAACAATGAGGTTACTTTTTAATGATTAGACAGGGTCCTCCCGTTCGATATGAAAGAAACCACTTCAACGTGAATAAACCAAATCAATGCATTAATTTCCAAAGTCAGATTATAAAAAAAACCAGAGGAAAGAGGCTCTGACTTTCTGAGTTATTCAAGATGGCAGGACTTTGATTTCCCTTCTTTCTTGTGTGTTGTATTGCTGCTCTATTCACACCTTGCTCACCTCCTTTTCTTGAACGGTTTCTAATTTGAACCAGGACCTGTCGGTTAGAGGATGGGCTCAAAAAATCTTTAGATCTTTGGACTGTTAAAAAGGCCACACTGCTTTGTATCCTTGACTGTCATCACCTTTCGTTGCCCCCAAACGCAACCATCAGCCACCCACTGGAAAACGAGAAAGAGTTCCCAGTCCGAGCCAAAGCTTTCCATACTTATTTTGTCCACCATCTCGCTCCCTGGATTAGTTTGAATAAGACCCCTTCTACTGTGGCCCCGATTCTTGCCACAGGGAATTTATCTAGCCCACCTCTTTCACGTTTTTGTAAAAAAGGATTTTTTAAAAATCAGGCTGTTAACACTGATTTCTTTTAATGCCAGCTTGTTTTAATGCTGTTTTGCATCATATGTTTTTCTACTGAATTTGTAGTCTATAATAATATGGTTCTGTGATTGTGTTGGCCAGTGTCCTGCTTAGAATTGCGGAGTGTTAATGCGCTCCAGATGTTGCGCTGGCCTCAACTGAAGCGTTACTCTCCACCTTTCCACCGTATGATGATCCTGATGGGAGGAAGGAGAAAGTAGCATCACCAGCCCCCTTCGCCCCCCCAAATCCAATCCCACCCAGCTCAGCTGTTTCATGGCAGCTCTGTGGACCCAACCTAGATTTGGGGGTTCTCAAGGTCATATGACCCATCTTCTTAGTGCCGCCCTACCTGCAAAGGTAGCTGGCGAAATAGCTCAGTGGTTTAGGCCTCTGGCTACGGAGTCAGAAGCTGGGAGTTCGATTTCCCACTGGGTGGAAGAGCCAGCCTGGGTAGCCTTGGGCAAGCTGCACCATCCCAAGGGTGCCCCCTAGAGGAAGGGAAGGATCAAGCACTTCTGAGTCTTCTCTGCTTGGGAAACCCTGAAAAATGTCTCCAGAAGTGGGTGGAAATAATACTGTTGAGTAGAATAACGCTGTAAGACAACAGTTGAGAAAGAGCTGTGTGATCCTTAAAGGTAGTTTATGAGGATGTCTCTTGATGGCGTCTCCAGCCAAACCCAGATTTTTGTGACTCATATGCCCCACAGTGATATCCTTCTGTGTTTTTTTTTCATTCTCCCTCCCGCCACAGGCCTATCTGTCTCAGCCCTCCTTGTGCCCAGATCCTGTCTTCTCCTTAATGATGACATGCTGGAGCCGAGACATCAAAGACCGCCCGGCGTTTGAGGCCATCCACCTGTTTCTGGTCGAGCAGATGGACGGGAGCATTTGATGGCCAGTGAGGAGGGCAAGGGACCCCTGGAGAAAATCCAGAACAGTTCGGGAGTTTATCCCGTATTGGCCTCCACTTTGGAAAGTTTCCCCCGTTGGGCTTCCTCGCGGCGGGGAGCAAATCCGGATTGGTTTCACCCAAACAACCGAATTCCTTCTCCACGTGGCACGAGGTGGGCCCTCTGCCGTGTGACGAACCACCGAAGTCATGGGGACACCAGAGGAACGCAGGCCACCTTGAGATGGTTCCACCACTGACAGTCAGAATCCATCTTGGGCATCTTGAAGGAAGCATCCATGGCAGCTGCTTTCTCCCTCCGCCATGGCTAAGAGACCCACAGGACCAAAAAGTTGCCTTTCTTCCGGGAAAGTTTGAGAGAGGGCCTTTTAAACAAATTCCTCCCAGACCCTTCTCCTCTTTGCTCACGTTGCAACAAAAGACGACTTTCTTCGAAACCAAAGCCGTTGTAGAAATGACTTCCCACGGGTCAGGTATATATCTTGGTTCCTAGGAGGACCGTAGACTCTTTCCGGGAACTATCCTGAAGGAACCCCACAAGAAACGCGGGCAGCGAGGACGGCTGCTTCCAACCGGGCAAATGACGTCGCTGGATTCTGTGCTTTAGACGTGTGGGTCGTGGATGCTCATCGCTGGGCGCAGAAAGGAGGCGTGTGCGAATGCTTCCACACTGGATTTAGTTTTCATAAGTTCTTCTTTAAAAGAATGTTAGCTGCCAGAAGGTCACTTGGCCAATAGAAATAGTAGGGATTCGAGGAGAGGCTTCTGTAGCAGAAAGACCGTTCGCCCTGGTATTAATTTGCCAAAGGATGCTGATCGCCTTCTGCTTGTTCGCCCCAATGGACTGACCTGCAAATCATTCTGTACCAAGATTTGGCTTGGAAAAGATGCCAAAGGAAAAGGGAAGAAAAAAAAGAAAGAAAATCCACCTTGAAACCCTTCTGTAACTCAGAGCTTGGTTAAGTTACCTTTTCTTAAAAAACAACAACAATCCCCAAAATAATAATAATTTTGCCAAGCTTTACAGGAAAATGCTGCCTGCTCTCTCCTTTAGTTGTACAAGAAACCCTTCCTCCCTTTTTTACTGCTTCTATGCATTACTGTTATTATTATTGTTTTTTAATTCCCTTTTTAACTAGGAAACTTTTGAAAACTTTTGGATATCTCTCCGGACCAAACGGTGTCGTGAAATAGAGATGAGACTCCTGGAGGAGCTTGGCTTCTGTGCTTAAAAAAGGGGAAAATTTCCCAAGTTTCTAGTCCTTTGTGCTAATTCTGAAAACATTCCGGACTGTTTTTTTTTAAATAAATCCGAAAGAGTAAAGGGAAGTATGTATAGCAGTCAGAAAACAAAATGTAAGTTCTCCTTATATTTGATCTTCTCCCTAATAGCCCCTTTTTTAAAATATCCAAGATTGATTGGTAAATTTCCCTATTAGCGCATTTGGGAGAAGGAGCAATTTGAGGTGTAGTTGATGGTGGCGCTGAACGTCTTTAATTTCAGGTCCACTGCAAACCCTGGATTCCAGAGTTAGTGTCCTTAACATATATATATATATTCTCTTTTCTTGCCAAAATCTTTGAAGAACAAAGAAGCAAAAGATTGTTTAGAGAGGGAGCCCAGCATTTGGGGATAACTGGAATTCAGATAATCCAGAATCTGATATTCTCTACTACAGATGTGTAGATTTGTTTGGGTATTTTTTTTTCTGGGTGGGGAAATCTACAATTCCCAGAATCCAGGAGTTGTACGCCGACAATGGACCTCTGCACAGCTCTGTTCTCTACTGTAATGTTGTTAAGTACTTAAGACATATATACAACATAAATCTTGGAACCTAACGGTAATAGGTAATAATTCTCTGGAACTCATATAGCGGTCAATCAAATTTTGTTATGGAACATGTCTTTCTTAAATGCTCTTCACTTTCCTTGTTTTTCTCCTCTGTAATCTTCCACCCGTCATGAAACGTAGCATTTTTAGAGGAAATTTCACTTCTTTTGCCTTAGGCTTGCTTATTTTTGTCCTGGTATGTTAAATGTAAGCTACACAACCCTCCCAACACCCTTTTCTCTTTGGCATTGTTTTTTGTCGCTCCCCTGTGGCAGCTTCTTGTCCCTTGTTCCTGCACGAAGCCCCACAGACAGTGACTCTCCTCGAACCACTTTCCTAGAAACTGGGATTGCCCCACATTCTGTGATTGACCCTCCTGCTTCCATAGTTGGAATGTTAGTGAACGTTCCGTCGCACGGTTTGGGTGCCAAAATCAATGCTTTGGCTGCACACTCTTTAAGAGGCACAGACCACAATAGGCAAAACGAATGGAGGAGAAAATAGATTTCTGCACATGGAATATATAGTCCTCCAGTTCTGTCTACCAGCTTGAATATGGCCATTGTGTGTCAAGATCTACGATATTATCCCCAGGTTTAAGCCACTAGATTCCAGGGCATCAGACTTGGGCCACTGTGTCCTTCCAGATGCTGCTGAACTACATCTCCCATCATCCTTCATGGTTCCATGTGTTGCAGTAGCAGAAGGCGTCATCTGACCACATCTGGAGAGGCATAGTTGATCTCTCTCTCTTTTTTTACTATTAATGTGTTGAGTCAAAAGTCAGATTTTTTTCCCCTCTTGGCTGTTATGGGAATGGTGAGCGAGACCACTGATGAACAATGGCCTAAGACTAGCAAGATTTTTCTGGAAAAATACCATAATTCTAGAGAAAACTGAAGGCAGCAGGAAAAGAGGACCGAATAGGAGGTGGTTTAGCTCCCTAAAGGAAGCCCTAGGCTTCCGTTTGCAAAAAGCTGCACGGGGCTGTTGAGGACGGGATCTTTTTGAAGGGTGTTCATTCATAGGGTTGCCATAAATCAGGGGCAACTTGACGGCACATAACGGCAACGACAATACTGGACTTAACCACTAGTCCTTCTAGCCTAGCGTTTAGGATGGGGTTATAAGGAAATATTTAACAGCATTTATTGGAACTAGAGAGAAGAGGGGCTGACTTTTGCAGCTTAATCGAAAGCTATTCCAAATTTCTGTGCCTCTGTGCACTTTTGTTTAAATTCCTCTTTTTATGGTCCCAGAAAGGCATGGCCTCCGTACAAAATTTGGCAATAGTTTGCCATGGCATCTGCCCCTGGTTACAGGAGAGACTCGGAGAGATGCCAACGTCCTTCTTCGGACCGTGCTCCTCTGACTTGCTTTAACCACCGTTAAAGCTGGGGACATCCTAGGAGCCAACCAACATTATCCCTGTGGCGGAAAAAAAAATCACTTGTTTGATTTCTCCTCATCAAAATTGGGTGTTCAAGGCATAGGAGCAGGCCAGGAGTGTGGTTTTTCTGGTCAGTTGGCCATCCTAGAAGCTGGTTGCTAGGCAACACATTAGGAGAGAGGTAGGCCTCAGCCAGCCCTTCCAGTGCGTCACCTAGCAACCACCAATCAAAATTAAGGATTTTGCCTCTTTTTCTTTGAAGGCTGCCGGGATGGGGGACATTTCCTTTCCATGTTACTTGAAGTTCGAAACTGTGGATATATCTGCCATTTTTGTCCCAGAGCACATACAATTCCCTCAAACAATCTTTTTTTTTTTCTCTCTCTCTCTCTCCTTTTCCTCCCCCCATCCATCTCTTTAAAACTTAAAAAAAAAACTTTTTTCACTTTTATATCATTTGTTTTTGGCTATTGTATGACCGTGTACATATTGTATTTAGAAATGGCATTTCAGATGTGTACATAAATATAATATATGGATGTAACCACCAGTTCCTCCATGATGACACAATTGCTGTGGGGGTTCGAGTATGTTTGAGTTTGTTTGGATTTTTTTTTACATTGACAAATGACCAATAAAATCTGTTGGTTTTCTTTTCCTCCTCTCTTTTTCTGTTTTTTTCCCCCTGGAATTTGCAGTAAATCAGATTAATTCCCCACGGTTGTCTTTTCTGGGATGCTTGCTGTGACGCATAGAAACTTCGCCACATGGCCCAGCTGTCATTTTAATAGAGGCCATTCAGCTTCCTTTGACCAAGAGGGGGAAATGCTGATATATTTCGATATTGCAATCAATATGAATAGAAATCCACTTACCATACAGTAATCTTATAGGTAAAAACTGTACAGTATTTGCTCAAACGAGTCTCGAAAGTGACAAACCTCTATCTTGTTATATTTGTGACACACACTCTTTTTTTATGTTGTAACTTTGTGAGGTAGGTCAGGACGCAACAGAATGTGACTGGTCCAAAGTGAGCACCCCATAATTCAATGAGGACTAGAAACCTGGATCTCCCGTGTAATGCTTTAACCATTACATCTACTGTCTGTCACTTGACCAGTCAGACTCATTTGATGATAGGTTTACAAGACCCCCATCTCCAGACTAAGCGCCCTCCCTTCTAGCTCTGCACCAGAGCTGATGCTTTCTTCTTAGCTCAACCTCTGTCTTTCTTACTCGTTTTTTTGAAATATACATATATATATTTTTCCAACTCAGTGTCCCGGCAACAATCCACCCTCCCGCGTTTCCTTGGTCCATTGCTGAAAAGATGCCTTCTTCTTGAAAAGCTTCCTGCCAATAGCCACAATTTGTCCGGCCTCACATCGATAGAGGCTTTGGATGAAGACGGGACTGTAACAGCATTGAATCGTTCCTGTTCTCGCAGAGGCAAGGCTGTCCCAAGACATTTTGCAGCCCGAGGCAACAAACCCCATCCCATTCCATGTCCAAAACCTAATTGCATGAGCAGATGTATTTGCTTTTAGCCTTAATAAGAGGGTGGTTAAGGCCTAGCTTATGGGGTGGAAAGCAGGCCACTTGGTGTCTTCTCCAACGCCATGTTGCCACCTCCCAGGATCTCCCTCCTGAGGCAATGCCCTCCCTGTGTCCAACGGAAGGGCTGGCCCAGCATGGAGGTGTTGGTCCAGACATATAAGCCTGTAAATGTCAAGAACCAGCCTTATCTGACCGGCACCGGGCACATGATGAGCGAAGAACAATATAAGGTGGATCTACCTCCAGAACAAAGCAGAACTTCCTACATTTACCCAAAAACAGCTTTGGCCCAGTGACTTTCTACCTCCTTTAGAGCAGACAATAAAATTAATATTTAGGCTCCAAGGTGTTTGAATCTTTGTCCTCAATGCACCTACCCTGTAAGGCACAACACTATTATTAAACCATAAATGGGCAACTGGGAGGGAGAGAGATTGACAGAGGGAGAGACAGTAACCCAGCTAAGATCTCAGGACAAGTTCGTGATGGAGGTGAGATTCGATATTCCAGTTTGTGGCTACTGGACTAGAGAAAAAAGTCAGGAAGAACATACTGGCCCACTATCTACTCTCCAAAAGAGGAGAAAGCCACCAGTGACTATTGGAGAAATAGCTGCTTGGTGTTGCCCACCCAGTTTGATCCTCGTGAAAATGTTCCTCAAGAGAAGAGTCATTGGGGGGGATTGGGCCCACCCTTGGCATCTTCCATAGAAATGCCGCGCTCTGTTCTTTGCGACAGTCGGCCAAGGCGATCTTGTCCGAGGATCAACCAAGAGGGTTCGCCATGCCGAGCCTGTCCGGATGCAACCGTTTTCATCTCAAGAAGTGTAGAACAGCCAGGATGAGACAAACGGCCAGCGAGAGGGCAATGAAGAAAACGCTCGCCACCCACACGCCTTCCTCGTGTCCCCTCAGCCGCCGTGGGTTCTCGGAAGGGATCATGTTGGTCAGGTTGAGCATGTAACCCAGCGACCAGCCGATCTCCGAATCAGCAGCCTGGCGGAGAAGAAGACCATAGAATCAGTCATTTATCAGCTTGGTGATCTGAAGGACGTCAGGATGGGGTGCTAGCGTGGGCCAAGACTTAGCAACACTTTGGGACCCATAGCCAACCCACTGAGCTAGTGGGAACAATGACCTGGCTTAGTATTTTATGCACCGTTCCCAACATCAGAGTCTTTCGCTTGAGCTGGATGGCCCAGCTCAGCTCTCACCTTCATCCGGAAGGCGATATTTCCCCAGGTGTCCTTGTCAAAGCCATAGCCATCCAACAGAAGAGTGAGGATATAGTTGGCGCTGGCGCAGTAGTTTTTCAGGCGGCGTTCCTCCTCGTCGGAATAACTGGATTTCAGCTGGGGGAATGGCAGAGAGGAAGGGAGAGAGACGCCATGTCAGAACCCGCCCAACCAATTTCGTAGAGTCCGATCTGTACCTTTCCATCCAAGACAAGGCGCTCCGAACCGCCCGACGTTGCCCAAGGGATCTCGGCACGACAATGCAGCCAGAATCGTCCTCTATACAAAACAGGTAAGGGTTCCTACCTCATTCCATGTTCTGGCACAGAACGTCTCAATGGCAGCTTCGGCGGTGGCTAGTGGGTAACCCTCCGTCAAGTTCAGGAAATGGAAGGTGTAATAATAGGCAGAAAACGCCTGCGGGAGGGGGGAAAGCAACATGAGGAAAGCAATATGAGATTGTATCTCTTGTAATTAATTTTTTTCTTCAAAATTTTTTTTAAAAAAAATTCTTTCCAAAATTAATTTTTGTTAAAGAATTTTTTTTTGGTAATTGATTAATTCAAAGTAAGAAGAAATCGTTGCCCTACCAGAAATTTCCCGTTGACCTTTGGCTGATAGATCCCGTTGAAACTGCAGGAGTCGTTGTGGCTGCAGTTGGAGAAGCTGAAGATTTTCTTGACGGCTTCGCGGCAAAGGGTGGCGTTGCCGGCGCCCACCAAAGTCACGTTCCTGGAAGAGGCAGGCCAACCCAGTTTCTCCGTACAGGGGCTGCTAAAGAGATCTACCGTCCTGACCAGTTCCTTGTACCCTATCGGGTAGCAGGGATGGGAGACCTCCTCAGCACTGCTTGAATTCTGGGGATGACAAACCACAGAGTGAGATCATGGCCCGGGGATGCGAAAAAGGACATCTGGAGGCCTAGATCTCAGCAAAAAGAAGTAAAAAAGGAAAGAAAAAAATGCTGCTTCCGGAAACTTCTAGAAACAGCGACTCATTCTTAAAACCGTTTATGGAGCTCCTCAGTGTTTTGACATCAAAATTGCTTACCTTTTCAAATCCAGAAATGAATTTCTTGCCACAGTCAATTCCTCCCCTTCCCCTTGCTGAATTTTCCACAGTTTTTGGTAAAAATTAGCGTAAAACCGGCCCTCACGCTCCCCACATTTTTTCACCCCTGAGCTAACCACTATACCATATTGTCTGCATGAAACGACATATTTATTTGTGTTGTTCCTTCCAACTTTTTGATTTTTAATGGCTTCTGATGCATTTTAATATGTATTATTCAGATATAACCCCCGTTCCTAGCACGTGCTTCCCCATAAAGCGGAGACTCTTTTGACCGAAAACACGGGGGGAGTTTTTGTGGGTTTTTTTTTAGGGCTACAGCTACCACAATTCCCTTTAAAAAGGGAACTTTCTCAACTTTGAATAATAATTTTAGTTAGGCTTATTAACAAAGAGAGGCTCTTCCTGTAAGGGCAGAGTCAATAAAAGCGCACCTAAATAGCTGGCAAGTCTCCCAGCTAGGATTTAAAGAGAGAGAGAGAGACTAACTTCCTTTTGTTGATTATTTACAGACTTCTAGATAAGGCTATTTTTAAACTTATCTAAATAAATTGCTATTTCCGTGTGGAGGAAGCAGAGCGATGTTTAAAGCGTCATTTTATTAAGGTTTTTGAGAGCTGAATCTAAATAAATTGCTATTTCCGTGTGGAGCAATAATAACCTTCTGGACGAAGCAGAGCGATGTTTAAAGCGGCATTTTATTAAGGTTTTTGAGAGCTGGGGCAGGCTGTGTCATTGGGGAGAAAATATCATGGGGAGGCAAAAAATGGTGATGATTTAATTTATTGTTACTGTATTTTTGCTACCAAGGGGGAATAAAGGTTCTTAGGGCCATCGCTGGACTGGCGATTGAGATGCTAAATGTTCCTTGAATGTTCTGGGGTGGATTTCAACAGGGGTGGACATCGCTGGACTGGCGATTGAGATGCTAAACGTTCCTTGTATGTTCTGGGGTGGATTTCTACAGGGGTGGATGCATTAGAGCAGTGGTCCCCAACCTTGGGCCTCCAGATGTTCTTGGACTTCAACTCCCAGAAATCCTAGCCAGCAGAGGTGGTGGTGAAGGCTTCTGGGAGTTGTAGTCCAGGAACATCTGGAGACCCAAAGTTTGGAACCACTGGACTCTGTGATGTTGAGCGATCTCTTCCACCCTGAGAATTATATGAAGCACCTCAATGAAATATCCAGATGTGTGATGGCCGCGGGAAAGCACAAAAGCAGATCAGAGGGAGCGGGCAACGCGCCAGCTGTTTTGTGTCCAGAAAAGAAGAGAGGGTGACTTTTTTTTAATGTCCTGGACATCACCCACCGCCTTCAGTACCTTGTTTGACAGTATCCACACCACAGGCAGCAAATTTGGGCGCTACGAGTGGGCTGGAAATGCCTTAATTTGTAATTATTACATTTTTACTGACACTGTAAGGGAGGGGAGGTTGTGCACCTTGACAAGGGTTGGTAGGTGCAAGATGACATTTCCTGTTGTATCTCAGGCGGCTGTTGTGGTTCGGACGTCACCTCCAAAGTTCTACAACCCTCCAGATGACTTCCTCCATTTTCCGAGCCCCCCGCCCTCTCTTTATCTGCCCTTCTAACCCACCCTCTTCACCCTGAATCACCGGCCATGTTCAAGCACTCCGGGCCGGTCCTACCGTTAGGGAGGCTGAGGTGGACACAGCGAATTTACAAATTTTTTGTTTGTTCATTGGGGCAACTGTTTCTGAATAACCAACGGGCTGACTTACAACGATAATGCCGATTACTTGCTGGAGGGCTTCATTCTGTCCGTAGCACAAGTAGCTGTGGGTGTAGATGGTGTAATTGAACCCGTAGAGTCGGAACTGAGCCGCTTCGGCGGGGTCGGCGATGTGGCTGGCGGGAACGAAGCTGATCTGAGTCGATGCCCCGCCGAGGTCCAGAGCCCCTAGGATATTGGCTGATGAGGGATGAATCCAGTCTTGGTCCTGAGCAGAATACTGTGGGGGCAACAAGGAGAGAAATCCTCTAGAGAAGCAAGCGAGATGTTATTTTGAGATCTACCTACTCCGTTGCATTGGAGGCTGATCTCCTAACACAGAACTGGGGCAAATGACTCCTATGGATTATACCTTCCAGCATCCGCCAGTGGATTCTGGAAGTTGTAGTATGAACTGCAAGGGAATTATTATGGTGGCGCAGCAGAACTGCGCGGCCAAACTGTATTGTCATATTTGTGTTCTCAGCTTTCTAAAGATGGGGTTTCCCCTCCTTACAATGTGGATTCAAAACCTCTGAGTTGTCTTTTGGCCCTGAAAAGCTAAGCATAAAGAAATATTAAATTAAAATAATCATAGTAATTGCCAGTAGTTAAAAGGGAGTGATGTGCCACTACTCTCTGGCAAGATAAACCCCACCTTTGTGAAAGAATCCAGCAGATAATTGATCGTAATCCAGCCGTAAGCTCCTTCATCTTCTCCTGAAATGATCTGAGCACCACGGAAGCTTACGGGATATTTCTGGATGGTCTCGCCCACCGCCTTCAGGACCTCGTTTGACAGAGATTCATTTTCCATCCTGCAGGATAGATTTGTGAAGGAAGAACTTTGAGGGTAGCTTGGGTGTGAGGATGATATGATAGCACGTCTTTTTTAAAAAAAACCCGCACACACCAGATTTCTGTATCTCTGTGTGGTTGAAACCGAATGTTACTGGAAAATAAGCTCTTTTAAAAGAGAAAAGACACTTGATTTTGGTCAAGCGTTCCTGCCTCTGCATATGGCCAATTGGTTTCTGTTTGGTGATTGGTTGATGAAAGGCAAACCCGGGCTTCCTTTGCAAGTCATGGCTCAGTCATGGAGCTTTGAAGAAACTGCGTATCTGGAAGGAAAAGGTCGTCATAGCAGGAAATGCGGATTTCTTTTAATGGGTGATTTGATTGCTGGAAAAGTAGATTCTGGGCAACACTTTTAAATAAGTAACCCACTGCGGCTCAAGTAGCAACAATGTTATGCTTTGAAGGGTAACCGCAGGAAACAGCACACATTTTATTTCTGAAATATTTACTTATTTCTTCTCCTTGTTACCTTTTAGGAGCTACAAAATGTTGGTTTTTAAAAAAATTAGACACTTTCTTACTCTTTGGATGTATTTGCTTTCCAGCAAAGGAAACAGGAGTAAAAAAAAATTCCAGTAACAAAAGAAAGCATGTAACCTTGACAGTAAAAATACTTTTGGAACTAGTGTAAAGAATTGTATAAAACAAATTCCTTTGAAAAACTCATATTCCTAGCTCTGTTCTGGGTGATCCTTAGTGACTATACTTTCAAGTCTTTTTTTTTTAAATCCTTGATCAGAAACTTAATTGCTTAAAAAAAAAAAAAAGAATAAC